TTGTAAAGCTACAACTCCCAGGATCCCATAGCATTGCATTCTGGCAGTTAGTGGTGCCAAACTGCACTCATTCTACAATATAGATGCACCCAAGAAGATCCCATAGTGACCAGAAGCAGTAAACAACATACATTTTTCTAGGAAGTCACTCACTTTCCTCCATCTTATCACACAGATATTTTAGCAGCCTCCTCTCCCCTTTACTTGTCCCAACTCTTGTATTAAAAGGCTTGCTTCTTCTACAATCTACTGAGATAATGGCACATCTAGGAAGCAGTGACATAGCATGATTGGTACTTTACAATTCCTTCGCTAGTACTTCCAGAGGTTTGTCCCCTAGAGGACGACAAGGGCATTGCCTCTGAGCATGTGCAGTGCACCTTCCCTGCTCTCCGGAGCCACACATAATAATAATAACAACCCTGTGACAGCACGATTAAAGAGAAACAACCGGAAAAGCTGACATGATATGAGGATTTAAAGATCGAACTGCAAAGACTCTGGCACAAGCCAGTCAAGGTGGTCTCAATGGTGATCGGCACACTGGGTGCAGTGCCTAAAGACCTTGGCCTGCACTTAAAAACAATCAGTGCCAACAGAATTACCATCTGTCAGCTGCAAAAGGCCACCCTACTCAGATCTGCACACATTATTCACTGATACATCACACAATCCTAGACACTTGGGAAGTGTCCGACGTGTGAGCCAATACAACAGCCAGCATAGTGGTTTTATTTGTTGTGTACTAATCTTGTGTTTCAAACAATAATAATAATAATAATAATAATAATAATAATAATAATAATAAATAGGCACAATGGATGCAGTGCCTAAAGACCTTGGCCTACACTTAAAAACAATCAGCACGGACAAAATTATCATCTGATAGCTGCAAAAGCCCACCCTGCTTGGATCTGCATGCATTATTCGGCGATACATCACACAGTCCTAGACACTTGGGAAGTGTCCGATGTGTGATCAAATACAAAAGCCAGCATAGTCATTTTGTTTGCTGTGTACTAATCTTGTTATGTATCAAACAATAATAATAACAACAACGCTTTATTTCTATTCCACCCTATCTCTCCAGGGGGACTCAGGGCGGATTCCAGCATATACAGAGACACAAGGCAAACATTCAATGTCTTGAAACAATGAAAAACAGATAGACAGATGAAAGTAAACGCTTCCCCTTTCATTTCCAGCTCTGGCATCTTCATTTCTAAGCCAAAGATTCGGCATTATCCGCAGATGCCTCCAAAGCCATGTGGCCAGCATGACTGCATGGAGCGCCGTTACCTTCCCACCAAAGTGGTACCTATTGATCTACTCAGATTTGCATGTTTTGGAACTGCTAGGTTGGCAGGAGCAGGGCCTAACAGTGGGATTTCACCCTGTCCCACAGATTCAAACCGCTGACCTTCCTGTCAGGAAGTTCAGCAGCTCAACAGTTCAACCCATTGCACCACCATGGCACAATCCAGTCCATTGCAAAAAAAATAGCTCACAGATTCATCCTGAGTTTCCTGGGCACCTTCTGTCATTGTCTGGATGTACACTGCCCTATAATCCAGATCATCAAAGAAGATAATCCACATGAGACTACATTGCCATATACGTAATCCAGTTTAAAGCAGATCATCTGGAATGTATATGGCAGTATAGATGGGGCCATTAAGGAGAGGATTTTTCAGGACTCCTTCGTTTCCTTCCTCCCCTCTTCCATTTCCATTTTAGTCCATAAGGTGGGGGGGGGGTCCTTTTCTTCCCGCCTTCCAGTCACTTGCTGATTGAGAGCTCCTCCGGGACTTCCACTGGGTTTTCTTAGGCAAGGGATACTCAGAGGTGGAGTGGCCAATTCCCTCCTCCATATTCTAGCCCACACAACCAGGAGTTGGGCAAAGCCACTTGCCAGGAAAGAAGGAGCCGAAGGAGAAGAGTGGTGCAAAGATAGCAAGTTGAATGTATTGTTGAAGACTTTCATGGCCAGAATCATTTTCCAGTTTTCCAGGCTATATGGCCATGTCCAGAAGCATTTTCTCCTGACATTTCACCTGCATCTATGGCAGGCATCCTCAGAGGTTGTGAGGTCTCTTGGAAACTAGGAAAATGAGGTTTGTATATCTGTAAAATGTCCAGGGTGGGAGAAAGAACTCTTGTATGTTTGAGGCAGGTGTGAATGTTGCAATTGACCATCTTGATTAGCATTGAATAGCCCAGTAGCTTCAAGGTGCGACTTCACAACCTCTGAGGATGCCTGCCATAGATGCAGGTGAAACGTCAGGAGAGAATGCTTCTGGAACATGGCCATACAGCAGGGAAAACTCACAGCAACCTACCAAATTGGGTTTGTAGAGCCAGTGTAAAAGCAAAAAAAGGGGGGAAATAGAGAAACGTTGGAGGCAAGGATCAAAGAGGAGGGAAGGAGAGAGGGAGGGAGGGAGGGAGGAAGAGGGGAAGAGGGGAAGGAGGGAGAAGAAAACACGGGAGAGAAAGAGAAGGATCTGCTGAAACTTTAGTACAGCCTTGAAAGATAAGAAAAGAGATGGAAAGGAGTGAAGGGAGGGAGAAAGAGACAGTACACAACGGAGGGGTATGTGTATGTATACATACACATAGACATAAACACACAGGGTGTCCGCAAAGTCTCCATACATGCCGACATGTTTAAATATAGGGACATTTAGCAGCAGTTTCCCATTTTCTCCCAATGTAGTGCAACTTTTGGGGCACCCCGTAGAATCATAGAATCTTTGTGATGGGAGTGATTCTCCCCCTTTCCCAAGTGCCATCCAGTCCGACCCAATCAAAGCACACCTCGCAGATGGCCATCCAGCATCTGCTTCAGAACATCTAGAGGAGACTAATAATAATAATAATAATAATAATAATAATAATAATAATGTGATGTGGAAGGGTTTCATGGCTGGAATCACTAGGTTGTTGTGAGTTTTTTGGGCTGTGTGGCCATGTTCCAGAAGCATTCTCTCCTGACTTTTCACCCACATCTATGACAGGCATCCTCAGAGGTGATCAGGGCCAGTTAATCACCTCCGAACAAAGGAGTTCCCCAGGCAGGAAGCAGCCAGACCTTGAAGCTACAAGGCCATTACATGCTAATCAAGCTGGCCAATTGCAACATTCATACTTGCCTCAAACAGACAAGAATTCTTTCTCCCATTCTGGGCCTTCCACAGATATATAAATCCCACTTGCCTAGTTTCCAACAGATCCCACAACCTCTGAGGATGCCTGCCATAGATGCAGGCAAAATGTCAGGAGAGAATGCTTCTGGAACATGGCTATACAGCCCAGAAAACTCACAGCAACCCAATAATAATACTAATAATAAAAACAAGTTGATGTTGCAAACCAAGGTGACAGCAGGACTGCCAAGAAGCAACTGGAAAAGCTTAAACGATATGAGGATTTAAAGATCAAACTGCAAAGACTCTGGCACAAGCCAGTCAAGGTGGTCCCAGTGGTGATCAGCACACTGTGTGCAGTGCCTAGAGACTATGGCCTGCACTTAAAAACAATCAGTGCTGACAAAACTGCCATCTGTCAGCTGCAAAAGACCACTCTACTTGAACCTGAACACATTATTCACCGACACATCACACAGTCCTAGACACTTGGGAAGCATCCGAGGTGTGATAGAATACAAAAGCCAGCACAGTGATCTTGTTTGCTGTGTACTAATCTTGTTATGTATCTTAAATAATAATAATAATAATAATAATAACAATAATAATTATAGCCAGCATAGTGATATTGTTTGCTGAGTACTAATCTTGCTGTGAATCAAATAATAATAACAACAACAATAATAATAATAGCCAGCATAGTGATCTTGTTTGCTATGTACTAATCTTGTTATGTACCTAATAATAACAGTAATAATAATAGGCAACATGGTGATCTTGTTTGCCAAGTACTAATCTTGTTATGTATCTAATAATAATAATAATAATAATAATAGCCAGCATGGTGATCTTGTTTGCTGAGTACTAATCTTGTTATGTATCTAATAATAATAATAATAATAATAATAATAATAATAATAGCCAGCATGGTGATCTTGTTTGCTGAGTACTAATCTTGTTATGTATCTAATAATAATAATAATAATAATAGCCAGCATGGTGATCTTGTTTGCTGAGTACTAATCTTGTTATGTATCATAATAATAATAATAATAATAATAATAGCCAGCATGGTGATCTTGTTTGCTGAGTACTAATCTTGTTATGTATCTAATAATAATAATAATAATAATAGCCAGCATGGTGATCTTGTTTGCTGAGTACTAATCTTGTTATGTATCTAATAATAATAATAATAATAATAATAGCCAGCATGGTGATCTTGTTTGCTGAGTACTAATCTTGTTATGTATCTAATAATAATAATAATAATAGCCAGCATGGTGATCTTGTTTGCTGAGTACTAATCTTGTTATGTATCTAATAATAATAATAATAATAATAGCCAGCATGGTGATCTTGTTTGCTGAGTACTAATCTTGTTATGTATCTAATAATAATAATAATAATAATAGCCAGCATGGTGATCTTGTTTGCTGAGTACTAATCTTGTTATGTATCTAATAATAATAATAATAATAGCCAGCATAGTGCTCTTGTTTGCTGAGTACTAATTTTGTTATGTATCTAATAATAACAACAACAATAATAATAGCCAGCATAGTGCTCTTGTTTGCTGAGTACTAATCTTGTTAAGTATCTAATAATAATAACAACAACAACAACAACAACAACAACAACAATAGCATAGTGATCCTGTTTGCTGGGTACTAATCTGACTGTGAATCAAATAACTTTCTTTATATCCCACCACCATCTCCCAAAAGGGACTTCTAGTACCCCAAGGCAGCATCATGTTGAACAGCAATTGCCACCAGGAAGTTCTTGCTAATGCTTACACACACACAGAGAGAGAGAGAGAGATGCCCGCGGGAAAGGAGGGAAGGGAAATACCTGGAACTCAAGGCGACTGGACTCTCCGGGGAGGAAGAGAAGATGCTCAGGGCTCACTCACTCCTTGGTGCCAACGGTCCGGCTTTGAAAGGCTGGCTACAAGTCCCGGCAACAACAACAACAACAACAACGGGGGAGAGGCGAGGTTAGAGGCAACGCAGCAATCTTCCTTCTAATCCTCCTCCTCTTCTTCTTCCTCCCCTTCCATTGGGTCTTCCCTCCATCCTCCCAATGCAACCAAGGAGGCGCCTACATCTGCAGGTGTCTGCAGGCAAAACCCGGGACAGAAGCGAGGCAAAGGGGACGCCCTGCCCGAACTTGCAGCCTTTGCTTCCCTGGGCAGGCAGTCCTGCGGTGCTCAGGCTGGAGAGAAATCACAGCTCCTAAGCCAAAGGTTTGGGGAGGAGGGCTGTTTCTCGGCTCTCCAGAACTCCAGCTCTGGAGCGGGGGGTTGGATGCTGGGAACTGGAGCCTGGCATGTCCTTCCCCAGCTCAGTTATTGCTCCCTCTCCACCCTTGCAGTCCTCAAAGACTAGGGTCCCTTCCACACAGCTGAATCCAATCCTACATTATCTGCTTCGATCTGGGATATGTGGAAGTGTGGACTCAGATATCCCAGCTCAATCCCAGTTTTTCTGCCTTGATATTCTGGTGTGGAAGTGCTACATTATTACTATGTAACAAAGAAATTTAGAAAAAATATCTGTTCCTGGTTTGAACATGTGATTTCCTATTTCATTGTGTGTGGTACTTACTTTGAAAGTAGTTGTTATATTTTTTTTTCTGGCTGCCACAAACTATGTTGAATGGGTTGAGACTCTATCATAGCGTTTCTTAACCTAGGGGTCAGAACCCCTGGGGGGGTAACAAAGGGGGTGTCTGAGGGGTCACCAAAGACCATCAGAAAACACAATATTTTCTGTTGGTTATGGGGTTCTGTGTGGAAAGTTTAGCCCAATCTATCATTGGTGGGGTTCAGAATGTGCTTTGATTGTAGATGAACTATAAATCCCAGCAACTACAACTCCCAAATGTCAAGGTCTGTTTCCCCCAAACTCCACCAGTGTTCACATTTGGGCATATTGAGTATGCATGCCAAGTTTGGTCCAGAGCCATCATTGTTTGAGTCCACAGTACTGTCTGAATATAGGTGAACTACAACTCCAAAACCCAAGCCCACCAAACCCTTCCAACATTTTCTGTTGGTCATGGGAGTTCTGTGTGCCAAGTTTGGTTCAATTCTATCGCTGGTGGAATTCAGAATGCTCTTTGATTATAGGTGAACTATAAATCCCAGCAACTACAACTCCCAAATGTCAAGGCCTATTTCCCCCAAACTCCACCAGTGTTCACATTTGGGCATAATGAGTATTCATGCCAAGTTTGGTCCAGATCCATCATTGTTTGAGTCCATAGTACTATTTGAATGTAGATGAACTACAACTCCAAAACCCAAGGTCAATGCCCACCAAAATCTTCCAACATTTTCTATCAGTCATGGTAGTTCTGTGTGGAAAGTTTGGCCCAATTCTATCGTTGGTGGGGTTCAGAATGTGCTTTGATTGTAGTTGAACTATAAATCCCAGCAACTACAACTCCCAAATGTCAAGGTCTATTTCCCCCAAACTCCACCAGTGTTCACATTTGGGCATACTGAGCATTCATGCCAAGTTTGGTCCACAGTACTGTCTGAATGTAGGTGAACTACAACTCCAAAACTCAAGGTCAATGCCCACCAAACTCTTCCAACGTTTTCTGTTGGTCATGGGAGTTCTATGTGCCAAGTTTGGTTCAATTCCATCATTGRTGAAGTTCAGAATGCTCTTTGATTGTAGGTGAACTATAAATCCCAGCAACTAAGTCCCAAATGACAATATCAATCCTCCCCGAACCCCACCAGTATTCAAATTTGGGCGTATCCGGATTTGTGGCAAATTTGGTCCTGTGAATGAAAATACATCCTGCATATCAGATATTTCCATTAAAATTCATAACTGTAGCAAAATTCCAGTTATGAAGTAGCAACAAAAATAATGTTATGGTTGGAGGTCACCACAACATGAGGAATTGTATTAAGGGGTCGCAGCATTAGGGAGGTTGAGAAACACTGCTCTATCAGATACTCATTGAAAAACTATCGCAAAATGTGCTGCGGGATGTCCAGCAACAAAAAAAGTTGTGGCAGTTTAATACACTTTTCCCATGCGTTTAGGATGGAACCAATTAGGAAACGACATTGATAACCCAGGAACAAATGTGTTACACGGGGCCCTTCCACACAGCCATATAACTCAGAATATCAAGGCAGAAAATCCCACAAAATCTCTTTTGAACTGTTATATATCCCAGTTCAAAGGAGATCATGTGGGATTTTATTCAACTGGGTGGAAGGAGCCATAGTGTGATCTCCTCCAAACCCAAGTATCCAAGGAAATAAATCCACTTTAAAAAGCATGCACTTTGACATTACTAAAAAAAAACCCCACCTTAGATAGAGTGAGGCGCCATCCTCAGGCTGCAGGTGCTGTGGAGTGGGCAGTGAAAGCCCCTGAGACTTCTTTGTTGTTCTCAAGAGTGGCACAAAGGGCACGGTCTCCTCCTTTAGGGATACTAAACTGTGCTTCCAGCTTGGGCTCTTCCTGTTGTGGTGCTTTGCTCCAGGCAGCAAAATACCTTGAAACCTCCCCTTCCCATACACAGAGATGCTCATAACAGCCCTGCATCGCCTGTTAAGAGAGCCACGTGCTTTGCCTGCAGAAAGTCCTGGGTTCAGTCTGGGACATCTCTCTCTCTCTCTCTCTCTCTCTCTCTCTCTCCAGGTAAATCTAACTAAAAGAGAGAAAGACTTCTCCCTGAAAGCCTGGAGAGCCCCCACCAGGCAGTGTGGAGAGGCTCACTCTTCCTTTTTCTCTGTGTGCATTTCCATTGATGTTCCAAATCCGAATGACTCAATATGTGGTACTGATGTGGCACATTTCAAATGTGTTTTTAATGGTTTTTGTATTGTATTGATTTTATACTGATTTTATAATGCTGTTTTAAACATATATTGTGGGTTTTTATGGCATCAAATTGCTGCCTTGAGTCGCCTTCGGGCTTGAGAAAGGCGGGATAGAAATATCGCAAATCTATATAAATAAAAATGTAATGTTCGTTTGTGGGATTAACAGAACTCAAAAACAACCGGGCGAATTGACACCAAATTTGGACACAATACACCTATCAGGCCAACGAGTGACCATCACTCATAAAAACACCAAAGAAACACAGTAGAAGCAAAAAGATGCTACAGCGCATGCACAAAACAACTCCTCCTGGCAAACAAAACACACAATACTATACCCACACTCTCTTCCGGACTACAGCTCCCAGCATCCCCTAGACCAGGCCCTTTAGGAGAGGAGGATGATCCAAATGCACTACTTCCAAGCTGCAAGCTTTCTTCTCCTTGGATTTCTTTGAGAGCACCCCAATCCCTGCATATTTCCAATTTCCTATTCCTGGACTGCAACTCCCAGTAATCCTCCAGATGAATAAGATAGATTTTTTTTTTGTCATGTCAGGAGCGATTTGAGAAACTGCAAGTCACTTCTGGTGTGAGAGAATTGGCCATCTGCAAGGATGTTGCCCAGGGGACGTCTGGATGAATTGATGTTCCATCCTTGTGGGAGGCTTCTCTCATGTCCCCGCATGAGGAGCTGGAACTGATAGAGGGAGCTCATCTGCCTCTCCCTGGATTCGAACCTGTGACCTGTCGGTCTTCAATCCTGCCGAAACAGGGGTTTAACCCACTGCGCCACCGGAGGCTCCAGATAGATAGATTAGATAGCTTAATCAGGAGGACTGCTGGGAGTTGCAGTCCAAGAATAGATAGAGAAGGAAGAACGAGGAGAAAGAGGAAAAGAAAGGGGGAAGGAAGGGAAGAGGAAGGGAAGGAAGGGGAAAATGAAAGAAAAAAGGGAGGGAAGGAAGGAAGGAGAGAAAGAATGAGGAGAGAAAGGGGGAGGGAAGGTTGGCCACAGCAACGCGTGGAGGGTACAGCTAGTAAATAAATAAAATGTTCAGAGTACTTTACAAACAACACCAAAAAAATCTTTGCAGCCACCCAGTATAGTAAGTTAATTGTACTATGTAACAAAATTTGAAAAAAATATTCTGTTCCTGGTTTGAAAGTTTGATTTCCTGTTTAATTCTGTGGTACTTACTTTGTAAATAGTTGTTATACTCCAGAAACTTTATTTTGGTGGCAGTGAGTGTGTGTCAACTGTAAAATAAAATGCATGAAGCCAATTGGTTGAGCAATGCACGGGTTGATGACTCGGCCTGGAACTTTTGGAGACTGTTGCATTTTTGTTCAGGCTCGAACTATGCCGGTGCAGAGAGAAGAAGAAGCAGAGAGAGAGAGAGAGGCTGATTTGCTTCTTGGCTGCTGAAAAGGAGGTCTCTCATATGGATACAGAAAGGACCAATTTAAATATCATAGGAAAGGACATTTAGTAAGTTGATGCAACTGATCGTGTTGTACATATTTTGTTCTGAACTACGAAAAGTAAACTACTGGTACTTGTTCTTTACTGTTCACCTGCGTGGCACATTTTCTTTCCCTGGCGAGGCAGTGTGTGGGCTGATCCAACACGAACTACACGTGGTTTATTTTACATTCCGCCACAAACCTGTTCTGTTTTGTGGATGCTGAGCCGCATGAACAGAGTGTACATCTCTTTCTGAGCACTGAAACTGACATGCCCTTTAACGTAGCAATAAACAGGCATCATTTCCACCATAAGGCTACTCTCGCCTGGAGAAATGTGGGTCCCTCCTTCTCTTTGCTGTAATATCATAAAAGTCCAAGCTTACTGAAACTAGATTGAGGCTTGAAGTATCATAGCAGGGACCCAGGGGCAATTCTTTCAGTATATAAACCTTGTGCTTAAGTGGTATCAAGACCTGGATTCAGTGCATCCCTGGGCAGACAAGTGCGGCTGTTGAGAATGAGACAGGCAAGTATTTGTTTGGGAGAGAGAACATTTAGTCACGTTCCCACTCTGTTCTTATAAATAATGGAAAGACAGTCACCTCCCTTTTTATGATTATTATCCAGATGGGAAATGTGAATAAAATGCTCTGAACATCAGGGCCATAAGGCACAGATAACAGCCACCTTAGGTGGCACATTATGGATATTATGATAGGCCACTGGCATTTCTTGAAATGGTATTTGTACCACCAGGGACAGGGAAGACGTTCTTGTGGAAATTCCCCAAAATAACTTGGCCGGTTTGAGTTACTCGGGTGAACGAGAGAAGTGCCATTACTGTGTCTCAGTTGACAAATACTCTTAGATCAGTCCTGGGAATCATATTACCTAAGACGCCCACTTCACCACTTTATTTGACTGAGCTTGAATCTTTGTAATATTTCTTTGTGTTGGATATATGTGTGAACAGGAGCATAGTGAGAGCAAATTTCATCTCAAAGTGCCTTTAGGTGAGGTAAAGGTTTCCCCCTGACATAAAGTCTAGTCGTGTCCGACTCTGGGGGTTGGTGCTCATCTCCATTTTTAAGCTGAAGAGCCGGTGTTGTCCCTAGACATCTCCAAGGTCATGTGGCCGGCATGACTACATGGCGTGTGGTTACCTTCCCGCAGGAACGGTATCTATTGTTCTACTTACATTTGCATGTTTTTGAATTGCTAGGTTGGCAGAAGCTGGGGCTGACAGCGGGAGCTCACATTGCTCCCTGGATTCGAATCTCTGACCTTTTGGTTAGCAAGTTTAGCAGTTCAGCGGTTTAACCCACTGCGCCACCGGGAACTCCAAGGGCCACCCTACATGTGATATATTCACTCCTAGAATGCTTTTGTCTGAGCTAGTGTCACTGGAAATGTTTATATGGCCAACAGGAGTGTGGGGAGGTTAATTTAGGACCATAGCTGGAAGGCGAAATACCATTTCCCAATATGCTAGTTTCAATCCAGTTTATTTCTTTTTGTGCTGACTATTTGTGTACTTTTTTCCAATTTGCATTTTTCTGACAGAGATGGGGAAGCGATGCCTGAAGAATTCAAAGGACATTTGAAGCCACCTTCTCTTGAGGGCAGACCATCAATCCCTCTAATCCACTACTGTTGACACTGGCTGGCAGAAGGTTTTCAAGGTTTCAGGAATGATTATTTCTTTGCCTTCGTTGGAGAATGGATCTTGGCTCTTCTGCTAACAAAGCAGGTGCTCTATAAACACAACTAGGAAAATGTATTGTCGAAGGCTTTCATGGCTGGAATCACTGGGTTGTTGTAGGTTTTTCCAGCTATATGGCCATGTTCTAGAAGCATTCTCTCCTGACGTTTTGCCTGCATCTATGGCAAGCATCCACAGCGGTTGTGAGGTCTATTGGAAACTAGGAAAACAGGGTTTGTATATCTGTAAAACATCCAGGGTGGGAGAAAGAACTCTTGTGTGTTTGAATGTTGCAATTGACCACCTTAATTAGCATAGAATAGCCCTGCAGCTTCAAGGTCCAGCTTCACAACCTCTGAGGATGCCTGCCATAGATGCAGGCAAAACGTCAGGAGAGAATGCTTCTAAAATATGGCCATATAGCCTGAAAAACCTAAAACAACCCACAACTAGGAAAGTCATGTGGACCTACAGCTCCAATAATCCTCTCTTTAGCCAGTTAAGTGGCCAGATCTGTTGTGAGGATTCTGGAAACAGTACTTACATTTCTAAGTTCTGATATGAATAACATTGACTATATTCAGACAGCTTCTCCCCTTCTGTCTCCATTCAAAATCCCCCAAATGGTTCTGCCCTGCAAAACTATGATCACAGAACCCAGTTCAACCCACTGCGTCCAGAAGAAGGATTTCCCATTTGGGAAAGATCTACCCTCATTGAAGCAGCATCCAGATCTATTTGTTAAAGTCCAAACTCATCAGATATGACATGAGCAGAGCCATAACAAGAGACCGGTTAAAATGTCTGCATTATCTAGACAGACTGTTTCTTTCAGCATCTTCCCCGCCTTCTGTTTATGTTACTATTTGTTTTCTTCTTTATGTGGCCATTTATATCTGTATGATAGCATCAAGCACAAGGCAGACTGCAACAAGATTCTGTAATACAGTACAAAATTAAGTGCAAACTGAGAAAATGTGGCAGTAAACACAACTTCATAAACAACATATGATGTGGGGGAGAAAAACATAGGGTCAAACCACAGAAGCTTTAATATTATGCAATAATTGCAATGAAATATCTAAGGACTTGGTCCCAGTGTGGTAAAATCCCTATGGTGTTTAAGGACTGTGTCACTGGGTTGTTGTGAGTTTTCCGGACTGTATGGCCATGTTCCAGAAGCATTCTCTCCTGATGTTTTGCTCACATCTATGACAGGCATCCTCAGAGGTTTTGAGGTCTGTTGGAAACCAGGCAAGAGGTATTTATATATCTGTGGAATGTCCAGGATAGGAGAAAGAACTTTTGTCTGTTTGAGGCAAAGGTGAATGTTGCAATTGACCACCTTGATTAGCACTGATTGGCCCTGTAGCATCAAAGCCTGTCTGCTTCCTGCCTGGGGGAATCCTTTGTTGGGAGGTGTTAGCTGGCCACCTCCCAACAAAGTGTCAAAATCTGTTTCTCGGGAGTCAGCCTTTCTCTACACATATAAGATAGATAGCCAAAGTATTCTTATAAGTAAATTTCAGAAACATGGAAAGATTATTCTTTTGGACTACAACTCCCACCTCACTGGCATTCTGG